AGTTATTCTTCACGTCTTTGACCTAGACTGACTCATACCAAGGTTAACTATCTGGAAAAGGAATAGGAGCATCTATTAACAGGCAAGTTAAATAGAGACAAGCTGTTATTTGTTCTTTTGCAGTTTAATAAGCCTGAAGCAAAAGGTGGGAGGCAGCACTGCTTTTGCAACATTTTCCTGCTGGTGAAAACTAAAAATATCAAAGAATCAGACCATTAGAAAAGATATAGGAGCGGACTTTGTTAAGAGTTGAGACAGGAAATATAGAGTCTGATCCCATAGAAAAGGAATAAATGAGACTTTTATCTTCTGAATAGAGTGGCAGTAAGTATTGTGCATCCCAGCTAGAGTAGTGGATTTGAATGGAGAAAGACAGCGGAGGATGCTGATGCAGAAGCAGATGGGGTTGAAAGCAAGAACACGGAATGGTGAAGTAAAATTTTATACAAAATTAGTTCTGGTTTAGATGAAGTAACTTTAAATTAAAAGAAGATCTTATAAATTCCTTCCGGATGAGATAGCATGGCCATGGTTGTGGTGTACAGATGGTGCAGTTTGTTTACTAATGGCATTTTTTACGTCAGTTGGCAGTAACATTTTAGTAGTACCTAGAAATGCATCTTAAGTGCTTCTCTGTAGGCATCTGTGCTTGAAAATTCAGGCCATGGTTGGTTTGAACTGCCTAAATGACTATTTTCTTTAAAACCATGTAGTGTAGCTGTAGAAGTAAATGCCCTGTAGCAAAATCAGGAGGGACTGTTGCTCTAATATTTGTTATGGCTTAATTGGAAGGGGCTGGATTTGAAGGATTCAATGAAATCAGATAAAAGCTTGAAATAATACCAAAATAATGGAAATCATTATTATAAAACACTTTCTCTTTCTGTAAAATGGGCTCAAACCAGAGCTGTAAACGTAAATGATTAGCTGTCACATCCAGCTTTCTTAGGTACCCTATTTGTTTTTAATTACTTTTTGCCAATTGTGAACAGTTTAAAGGGCTATCCTGTGTATTGCTGAATGCTTGTATATAACCTCATGCCAAAGTATCTCATGCCTCCTCATTTGCCACTTTACATGGCTATCCAGAATGAATTCTAGTCTTGTTAGGTAATACGTAGTGAAATTTGGCTCAGAACACGTCTTGAAAATATTCACTTAATCATAATTTCACAAAGTGATAAATTTCAGGTTAGTTCCTCAGTAAAAGAACAGCATGCTGTTTACAAGTTTGGTGTTCACTTTTCAACACTGCTGAATAGGGCCTTGAATCTGAAATGCAGCAAACAGACTTGGTATGAGGTTGGTGATTACCCTTTTTTTGATGTTGTCTTCCTCAAAGGAAGTTTTCTCTTTGAAAGCACTGCAAGCAAAAATAGTACTAAGCTTCCACTGGTGATGGAGATACTACAGTGGTATTGGAGTTCCTACACCATGTTGGCTTTGAGATGTATGCTTTTGTGTTTCATGAGTTCATGTAAGTGTTTAAGGTTTTTCCAGGTCCTTTGTGATAATGTACAAATGGCACTTGGTGGGTAGAGGACCAAGCAGTTAAACCTCAGGTTGCAGTGTGAAGTGCTGAGTAAATAGACAGCTGTTATCTGTTAGGGAGGATGTGGCTGCTGGCAATTTTTTGTCACTATCTTTTTGTCACTGTCTGATGGGAGAGAATTCTTCCTTCTTTGTTAAACATCCCACATCTTTGCTCTTCTTTGTTCCTTACTTTCCTGTTTCACTGGGAAAGTTGGGCCCCTTCTATTTTCCTCTAGCAAAAAATGAAAGCGCGGTTTGTGTACTGAGTCAACTCTCCACTTATTTTAATTAGCAGAAAGAAACCGAAGTGCATCCATTAAAATATTTATCTAAATTTCTTAGCTCCAAAAATTTGAATGTGGTTATTTTTAACCTGGTTTCCTAGGGAAAGATGTTCCTGCAATCATTTTTCACTAACCACCCACTGTTAATAACTTCAAAAGCCTTAGTGATGATCACAAACACTTCAGGTGGGGTAGAGATGTCAGCTTTGAAATCCATAAGCTTCAGAAATGGGGACAGGTGGGGAGGAGAAATGCTTGTCACTGTGCCAGTCACGTTGCCACACGAGGTCTGGCCTGGTTACTGGGTGTGGAAGGATCTGTGTGGAAGAGACTTCATGAAGATGCCATCTGATGGGAAGGCAGTGTCATCATGGGGGTACTGACAAGAAGCAGGAGTCTGAGGTGAAGCCACAGGTTGAGGAAATACTTTCACCTTCCTTCCATGCTGCTGCTCCTGATTATGTCTTCACTCTTCTTGACATCCTTCTCAAAATTGCACCTCTGAATTACAAGTGTAACCCAGGGCCTTCTGATCTGGCCTTCTGTAGTACCCTCAAACACTACTTCTGCACCTCTTTGGTCTGTTGCTGCGGGATGCTGTGGCTGGCCTCAGCCTTTGTCTTCAACCACAGTCCTTGTCTTTGGCCTCAGCCTTGTCTTCAGCTGGTGCCACACAGGTACCACGCAGGTTTCTTCCTTGAGCAAACATTACATGTTAGTTCTGTGATCTGCCTGAGGCCTCCTGTGCAACCAGTCTCTTGTTTCTCTTCATCTGAAGAAAGATGCCCCAAACCATGTTGTCTTTCATCCTGCTAGTGCCTCCATAGTACTTTTCTCCAAGCCATCTTACCTAAAGCCTCCGAGTGGCTTTATGAAATAGCTGTCTGCTTTCCTCAAGAGCATACCCATATAAACAGAGCGAGGCACCCTGGCAGGTGTGGGTGTACTTGAATCATGGTTGTGCTTCGGAAAACAGCTGCTCTGGATGCAATGGAGTGTTGTAAACAGCTTATATTAGTCATGAAGTCATTACAAAACCATGGTTGTGCCATCAGTGGTCTGAATGCTAAGAATACACCTGTCGAGATAAACTAGTTGCATCTTTCTATGATTCTTTTATATCAGAACTCCGAGTTTGTTACCCAAACAAAAGCCAAATACAGTAGGAAATGTGTTTTTTTCTGGTTGTGTCCTTTAATTCTTTTAACAGCAAAAATAATACTATGCTACAGTGGTACACAGTAGTGGGACTTCATTTAAAGTAAAGCAAGAAAATGCAATTTAGGAACAGCCTGTAAGCAGATGTTGAAGTGAGCTACGCAAATTATGATACAGTAGATACAACTTCTAACAATCTTCTGATTTTATGGTGTGTAAGAGGTGGAAGAATTCTGGTTTATTTCCTTTAGTTGACTTTACTTTCTTGGGCTTCTTTGTTTTCCTTTTTCTTTCCCCCTTTTTCTTTTTTATTTAGGTAGATTATCCCTCTTTAGTTTGACTAAAGGGAAACTTTTGCTGTATGGTCTGCGTGGTGTCTGGACCTGGTGCTGCAACATGGCACACTCAGGAAGTTATACTGTTTGGGAGTGGCATTTTCAGCATAGATGCTTGCAGCAGGAGTACTGCTTTTGATGTATCTTCAGAGTTGAAAATGGACATAAGTTGGTAAAGCTGCTTTTCTGAGAAGTCTGCTGGTGGCTTTTGAAAAAGAATGTGCTCATCTGCCCAGGACACGGACAGGCATCTGCTTTTCAGTACGTGGGCCTTTTATACTGATTTATTCTTCTGCTACTCTGACTTCAGTTCTCTGCTTACTACATTGTTGATGTTTACTGCTTTAGCAATTAAATAATAAAGTATTCATATTACAATTGTATTTCCATCTGCATTTTCATGGAAAAATAGTACATACTTAACCTAATAAAAAATGCCCTCATATTCTTAATGGTTAAAATCTTCCCTGTGGTGTTTGTATTGTTAATAACTCTCAGGGCTTTACTCCTCATCATGCTGCTCTGCTAGAAATAGCTTTGAAATATATAGACATACAAAGTATATATTTTTCTAACAGTGAAAACTAATGTTCTGACATAATAGCCAAAACAAAGTGCCATGAAGCTATTAGCAGAAAATTGAATTTTTTTGTACGTAATTTAGTATAAATGCTGACAAGCTGAAAAAAAATAAAAACAACAAACCCGTACTCATTATTAATTCTGTTTAGCAGCACAGAGGCAGCAGTCGGCAAGGGTGTGCGTTTTTATGTCTGCTTCAATTGCACACTTCATTTATTCGGACGTGGCACAGGCGGCTTTCTCTGTCACACGGCATCACGGGGCGATTAGCGAGTTGCGCCCCGGGGCAGCTGGGACGCTTTGCTGGGGCAGATGTTCTTTTCAGCTTATTCAGTGGCCGTTCTTGGGTTGTTTACTGTTGTCATAGCTACCCGCATTTCCATAGCAGCCGTGCTGCTGTGTGTGGAGCAAGTGAATATAGTTATAAAAGGATCATATTTTGTTCTATCTCTACAACTCACCATCTGTCAACTGATTGTTGGTGATGGATTCAGAAACCAATTTAACAATAACAGTAGCCGGCTGATGATTTTTGCTTATATTAAAGTGACAATGGATGAGGATGCAAGTAAGTTGATGCTTCGATGAAGACCTGCCTTCGCTTTTCCTTAAAACGTAGTTTTGTTCCCAGTCTTTTCTCAAACATGGCTGAAATCCTTTCTGGCAAATCAAAAAGACCAAGCATCATCTTCTCTACATGCTCAGGTGTAGGTGTTTCCATATGCTTTCCCACTGTCCTGCTTGCTCATCTCAGTGTGTTGATTCTAAGTTGTGATGTTGCACCTGCTTTCACAGATCCTTTGTAATGAAATCTAAATGCTCATCACAAAATTAAATAGCAAATTTGTGAGGCTAACAAAGGCTAACATGTGCTGTCGTGCACACATGCGGATGGTTTGGTGACTTTCCTCGCTGTGCTCTGCTTAGTGGCAGTATGGAGATTACATGCAAGTTTGGGGGTGAATACAATGTAAGATCAAAGAAGCATCTGAATAATGAGCTCTTACACCATCTCACTGAAGAAATTCAATTGAACCTACAGTTTAGCAACGGGGGCAAAAAGATTAGCCCAGTTGTAAATAATGTATTTATTGATTGATTTTTCCAGATCCTGACATTGATGCTGCCACTGCCATGATGCTTTTGAATACTCCCCCTGAGATACAAGCAGGTTGTGAGTAGATATTTCTATAGCATATAGCAACATAGACATGTAAAGTTAATACTCTCTTTTATAAGTATACAGCGTACCAGATAAAAAGAAGGATTTCATGAAGAAGTACTACTTCTTTTATAGACCCTTACACTTCCTTGACCCTTACATGAGTATAATTTTGTGCTTCGTGTTACATTCACTGTTACATGAATAACAGTAATCCATAATCTCTAATGTAAAGGAGGGGTTATTGTTATTCATGACATACACATAATTTAGTAACATACTATTATCCATACTGATGGAAAGACCTGGGGCAACAGCCAGGAAAGCAGAGAGAGAAAAAGAGCAAGGGAGTGAAGGGTGCATGGCATATGGTTTTGTTTTCATTTTGTTTTGATTTGACTCCCATCGTGTGAGTTACCACAGCCATCTGGATACTTTCCATTCACTTGGGCACCGTTTCAGCTCCTTCCTTGCACACTTCCTGCCTATTTTGCTTTTTGCACTACCTGATTCAAGGCAGTAGGCAGGCTCCAGGGAGGGAGGAAAGGTCTGATTTCCTGCCAGTAGAACTGTTCTTGTTCTGGGACCAGACCTGATGGTTTGATGCTGTATACTAATAGAGCCTTGAAGATGCTCTGGCCCCTGCTGTCCTGGGCTGTGCTCATGGTGGGAGAATCATCCTGTCCCAGAGAGCTTGAGGTAGAGGTATTAGCCTGCTGTCCTGGGCTGTGCTCATGGTGGGAGAATCATCCTGTCCCAGAGAGCTTGAGGTAGAGGTATTAGAGGAATCCATGGAGAATATTGCTTCACAAAAGCAGGGAGTACAAGAAAACAAACATATCTCTGGTCAGCAAGCACGGTAGTAATGCCAAGTGACAGCCAGCTCTAAAGAATCAAGGCAGAAGTTAAAATAGAAGCCATTATAAAGCCTGTCTAGCCTGACTATTGTTCTAGCTCATGCAACCAAATCCACATTCCGGGGGAAGCCTTGGTTCTCACTTTGATATTCTGCCTGGGGAAGAGTCAATTACCATCAAAGAATCTCCTGCACAACCGAGGAGAGCTATTGTCAGCCTGCTTTGTGACTGTGCCAGAGAAATATCTGTTGAGAAGCTCCTGTGGAGAGACAGTGTGATGTACCAAGAGCCTGTCCGTGCCAGAGAGGGTGGTCCTTGCCCTTCTCTCCCTCAAAGCTTTCAGGAGCTGTGAGACATAAAAGGACAATCAATTCCAGCCCTATGTGCAAGTAGAAAAAAGGAAGGATTTTACCAAGGAGCGGAGGGTACTGATGAGGCTAACGGAGAATGAAATGAGCGATCTTTCGAGGGTCAGAAATTTAAGTAAGTCAGAGTTGTGGGCAAAAAATGGGTAACAGAGTTTGAAATATAAAACAGGATAAAAAAGGAGTAAAAAACTAAGTGTGTGAGAGATGAAAGAAGAAAGACAACATTGTGTGCCCAGAAAAGGGCGGAGAAAACACACAATAATCCAGACTTGTGTAGGAGCTGGAGAACTGTTGAGTGCAGCCATAGAACAGAGTTGATGCACAGTAACCTGCATAAGCTAAGCACACACTGCAGATGTTTATGTCATGTGCACGTTTCCCAGTATCACAGGTGTTTGTGTGGAAGTGATCCAGAGACCTGGCTGCTTTCATGCCATAGAGATGACATGTGGACTCGCAAGTGATTTGTTGCTGTTTTAGTTTGTAGAGGTAATTCTGAGGAAGAAAAGTGTGACTTTTGTAATTTGATGTGTCTCTCCTCCCTGTCCCCTCCCCAGTGGGCTGTTGTGTCACAGTGTCAAAAGTGAGACAGAGACGAAAGCAGGAAAGTGGCTCCTTCGCTCATGTTGCTACCTTCTTGATGTCACAAAATATCCAGGCCTTCTTCTGTGCCTTTATGCCAGGTGTAAAGACATGAGGGTCTACCCAGAAGTTCAGGAATCCTTCCGAATGTTGGGTGGAATTGGCTGAAGTTAGAAGAAAAGGTTAGGAGTGTTGATCATAACTTCAGAGGTCTTTCAAATTGTAGCAAAATACTTGTGTATGTGAACACATCCTTGAGAAGGTAAATAAGCCCACCTATGAAATGCAGTGAGGTCTACCTTTACCACTTTACCATGTTAGGAACATCTTAGGCAACTTAATTACTAGCATGCATGAAGGATATGAAAATATCACATTTAAAAATAATTTTCAAATAAAAGGCAAGTGGGCTATAAAAATTTCGTAGTGATCCTGAGCATTGTATGGAAGATCACAATTCATTCTCTGCTCTGCTGGTCAGTAGTCTGTAAATGAGCTGAATCATCAGTGTAGTAAGCATGTTGACACTGTTTGGTGTCTCGAAGATTTGGGTTTCTGTTTGTTCTATCAGACTGCACTATCAGGCATGTGCTCATGTCATCAGGGCTGCAGAATGCCCCCTGCTTTGAAGACAAGCTTACCTGTAAGGGATTTAAAGTGGGAGGGACACTGCTTGCAGTTTGGCCACGAGTGTTAAAAACTGACTGAAAATACCCTTTGGGTATGAGAGTCTGACTACCAGTGTGCCACTTACTTCAGCAGCAAAGATGGTCGGATGGAGGCAGAACCTGCCTGTAATTTCATAGCATAGCAGCTTGGCAAGTCCAGAAGTTTAAAAGTCCAGTGCATTAAGGTGTTCATCTGTCCTGAAAACATGTAGAACATCTTTGTGAACCATGGATGTCTTCATGGCACAGTCTGAACTTGTGGGTGATTGCACACATTGGCTTTTTACTTCGAAGGCATCTCCTTGAATTAAAAGCTGCCTTCCCAACAGGATAAAAACTTGTGCTTCTCTGGATGGCGTGGATGCTAAAAGTGTTTTGGGGATAAAGTTAGGTACAGCCATCACTCAAAGTCATATTAAAATTTATTCTTTTAATGTGATCTGTCAGAAAGAAATCCCATCTTGGTGGCATTAGAAAACCCAGCGTATACTAGTCCTTCCCTGTAACAGACTGATTAATTAGCTTTAGGTTTTAAGTGGCCATTTGAAATTATTTATGAACATCTCAAAGACTGCTGACAGCCACACAGGAATTTTAAAATTCGCTTTAGTTTTTATATGAATCCATGAAACTGTGTCTGAGCTGGCACAAGCATTGCTCAGCATTTGCTTCAATCACAATGTGCTTTCATTTTCATGCAAAAAAAGATTGCAAAATAAAAGAGTAAAATGCTGCTATTTGGATTTTTTTATTGTTTGTGGGAGTTTTGCTTTATGGACTTATGAAAGTGATTGTTTGTGTTGCAGTCATACTGGGTTGTTGACGAAGTAAAGTTGGCTTCCTAACCTGTCCAGGTTGGCAAGTTTCATTCCTGGATTGTGGTAGCACTGGCATCAGAAATTTCTAAACAGTTTCTAAAATATTAACACCTTACCATATTTTTACCAACTAAATAACTGGAGATTGCAAGTAAAGACAGAAGCTACAAGTAGCCAGCTTTGTGCAGGGCTCCACTGAAAAACACAATCCAGCTGGCAGAAGTACAGGTAGAAACATAATTTTAATGTTTATTTTTTATTTCAGTTTATGGAAGTCCTTGCATTTCATCAAGTTTTGTATTATTTGATTATGTTAAAAAAAAAAAAAAGGAACACCTGGCTCCTTTAGTAGCAGCTATCACGTGTTATGAATACTTTGTATGTCATTAGTAGTGGAACATGAATATTCATACCATGATACATGACTTGCATTGAGAGCTGAATTTTTACCTGGAGGGGACTCAGTTTTGATTGGGTTGCTGTGGGCAGGTTGTGTCCAGTGGCTGGACCTTTGTTCTCTGACGAGTATCTGGCTCACAGAAGGGCCAAGGGCAAAGATAGCAAACAAAAGTGATAAAGCTGCGTGTAGACGCTGTGGCTACTCGATTAGTGAGTACCTACATGTTATTTTGTATGACTGTTGAAATGCTCAGTACTTCACATCTTCGCAGCATCTTGCATGTGAGTGCTACCAGCTGGCACTTCCAGTGGCATATTGTCCTCAGCTCCAAGGCTGTATCATCCTGGCATGCTGTTTAGTCCTGCCAAACCGTGTTTTGCCATGAAGAAACTGGGCATAGCGTTCGGTAGTTCTGCAGTGTGTTTGGACTTCCTGAGGTTCAAGTCACTGTTAGCATTTTAAATAGCAATACTTTTTTCATCAGTGGGATTGTTGTGAACTTGCTCAATTTGCAAGAACCAATGAAAGGTAGTTGTGCGAAACCTATTGTTGATAGTAATGCTGGTGAAAAGCACCAAGGTCAAAGCATTACACTGAAGATATTAATGTGAGTCACTCCTGACGCAGCCATCATAGACATAGCTTTGAATTCAGGAGTAGTCCTTTGCATGTTGCTATATGATTTGGGAATTGCACACCAATGCAAACATGTTGCCCAAGCTGCAACTTAATACTGCACACAGCTGTAAACTGCTTGCAGGTAGGGCTTGGGAGGAAGCCAGGAAACTCCAGGAGAGTGCCTTCAGCTCCCAACATTTATCTTCCAGTTTGTTTCTAGTCATCCAGATTAGCTAGAAAGTGACAGCCTTCAGGATATTTCATGGCACTGTTTTTAGAGTTGGTTCTTTGCTAGAGACTGAACTGCTCTACTAAGGATTTTTGGGAAGATAGGAGAATGGAGTTTTGCTGGGCACTTTTTAAAAGGCAAGTTTTTCAAGGGTAAGATCTCTGTTTTGGAAACCTTTCTTCCCTCAAAGCATCTGTAATGCAGCATAAATACATTCAGTACATCTTAAATTCAGTGGGATGAGAAGAAATTCTTAAAAAAGGTCTACTTCTATACTAACAAAAATGTATCTGAATGAAATTCAGTTTTTAAGCGAATGCAAGTGGATGGGATACATGGGATATATATTTACAGAAATGAAGGAAAAAATGATATAAAATTGTCTTAAGAGCAGACAGAAATGCTGTGAATAGGATCAAATAGAACATGCTGTCTTCTCAGTGCATTTTTATTGTATGTGAAATGTGTT